AGTCTGAGGGGTTATTTCCGTAGTTGGACGGTGGAAAGACTCCTACCGGAAAAATAACACCGTCGGCCTTCCGTGTGGATCAGACGCTTATTGAGTTACGGACAGAGATCTAGTCTCGTAAGAACTTAGTATGTATTATTTCTGTAGGTGGGGTTAGCGATTTGTGAGGTCCCACTCTGGCTATAGTTTTTCTGACGCTAGATAGTCAGGTCCGTTTTTATACGTAGTCCTCCTTTTCGAAATACGAGGTTTGCTTAGTGGTGGGTCGGTTAATGAAAAAGTTTTAGGTACGTAGCATCTTGTGAAATTCTTTGGTCGTTTTCGTTGGTTACCAACTAAAACATCTATAAATATTCTTTTTGGTATACTACTAATGTCTAGAACTCAAGTTACGAGCTTACTTATTTAATTTTGACACATTCGTTGGTTCGGTCTTTTGTTGCACGAACAGCAAGTATAATTGTTGAAGAACGGGGCGACGAGTGTATTATGGTTCATAACCTTTGTTCGAGCTTCTTTCAGGGTGGTCTAGAGATAACATGATATTCAGGAGGTAAGGGGAAGGGCTAGGTTGAGTTGTGTTGAGGTTGTACTGAAGTGTGTCGGAGGTGGTGTGTGTTAGCGTGAGTGTGTGTGGTTAGTTTTTCTGTGGTTGTGTTGAGATCTATTGTGGTAACTGTTTGTGTAGTTGTGTGATCGTGCCGTCTGTGTGTGGTTTTTGTGTGTTGCGCATGGTGTTTCGATTTTTTCCGCACTGTCAACTTGAGGTCAACAACTGGCTCAAAGATGCCGGGGTTGTGTATTGTATGTGTCAGCCACTAAGTGTGTTTTTGTTGTGTGTGTGGAGATCGTCTGGTGTGCTGATAGTGATAGGTGTGTTTTGAGGTTGTAGTTTAGGTTGTATGTAGATGATGTAGATAATTTTTTACTCGCTCGCCGCGCGCGCTCGCTCGCGTTGGTACTTGGGTAGGATGGGTGAAAACATGAAGTCATTGCTCTGAAGGTTGTGGTCGGCTAGCGGATTGGACTGCTGTTTTAATTAGTAGCGTTACTGGTGGATGTGCTTGGTGGGGTGAGGGGTGTGCGAGGTGTGTGAGATGCTCTGGGTGTGTGTGGTAGGTGTTGTGGTAGTGTGGTGCTGATGTTGTGTGCCCTTTGTCTAGAGTGGGTCGTGTGTTCTTTTGTGGTGGTTGGTTCGTGTGTGGTGTTGCGCAAATTTTCATGCTTTTTCACGTGAGTACCTCTCTTGGTTTGTGAAGGGTTACCTGCGTCGTCGTTGTTTGTTATCCTCCTTACTAGTGTTGGCAGAAGGGTCCTTACTCCGTTTTCTAATGTTTCGTGCAGCGGGTTATGCATACGGTGGCACGTACGTTATACTTTTCAGAGTTTGTGTTTGTAGTATAGTAGATTTTATGTCGACTAATTCTCTTCAGTCTCTTAGGAGGGATCGGTATCCCTCGGGTTTATACGTTGGAATATTCTTTCACTATGATGATTCGTTTGGTTATGTAACGGACTAAAGATAGTGAAAAGTCGTATTATATGGTATCAGAGTAATATATCTAGCGTGAAATATTGGAAGGTGGTATAGTATAACGGAATTATCCGCGTTTCTGTGGAGTTGGATGTTTTTTCGGAATAAATTCGGACTAAATTTGATACCTACGAAACGTATTATCACTAAACAACTTAATTTGGTTATATTTTACATAACACTACCTTTTACGATAAACCTACTCGTAACAGATAGTAGCCAGACATTTTACAACTACGCCTGGATTAAGTACTAGTGCTCCACATGTGTAGGACTCAATATCAGAGAAGCGGGCGTGCGTATTCTTCGAAACTGGATATGTATTCCGGTTCGAATCTTAATATTTACTACCTGTGTCAACCTCAGAATGTTCCGTATTTATCTTAACCAGGATACCCTTGTAAACTAGTCAGCAACGACTCCAAAATTTATCTGACCACAAAAACGAGGAGATATCCCACGGAGTTTTTTCTACTGCACTGAATGTGGTCCACTTCATATGTCTCGTGAGTCTATGTCGTCGTGCTTATTTAGATTCGTCTGCGGGGTAACGAGGAGTTGCAACTTCTGGTCTTTTGTGGTGCAGCTCGATACGGTTAATGTTAATGAGTTGAAGAAATAGCAAATGGTGTTAGGGATTTATGTTTTAACTCTATGAAACCTGATGTACTTATATGATTCTGTTTTCTTCAAGTTTGTATTTTGTTGGTCGCACTTATTGTAAGTCGCTTTGGATAAAAGCGTCAGCTAAAAGCAATGTAATGTAATGTAATCATTTTGTGAAACAGGTAGGCTTATTTTGCACATTTTAGGGGCAGTAATGCTGAAATCACACACCTCATCAACGGATGGCATTTATCAAGCTGAAAAAAGCTTCACAGAAAGATGTAAGATGGAGGCATTGAGAAACGTTTTTTCTTACAGTGGGCAGGACTTTTCCCGCTGTAGCAAACACTGCACATCCTGTATAAATCATTGAAGTAAAAGCACATGTATCTGGAGGCAAACTAGGAATTATGGGTCCCCTTAAAGAATATCGGTCTGGACACTTTTTCTTTAAATAAAATAATTAAACTGGGAGTTTTGTGGTCCCTCTACAGCTCTGGGCTCTCAGACTCATCACTAACTTTCACCAGCCGCAGCACTACATCTTTTGTTTTAATGACAGTGGTGTAAAACCTGGCCCCTTCTCTTTCATGTGCTGCCAAACTTGTTTTAGGTCTGCAATAAATAAAAGGCTTGTTGTGCTCACATGCATACGTTTTATATTTATACGCTAATAATTGGTGTAGCAGAAATACTTCTAGACAGCTTGACATACCAACAATCCCTTTTGGCTGTAGTTGAAAGACAGCAAGGATTAAATCATTCAATTGATGGAGCACTCAGACACATACTTGATGTGTCCAAATAAAGATTTTGTTTTTGACATCGCTCCAAACATGTCTTTCTTCATTTGATTGACAAGAATACATACACAAACACATCTTCTTAGTTTAAATAAAAACCCAATAAATGGCTGCTACCATTTGAAATATATAAACTGAAAATTATGTAAACAGGAAAATAACTGAATAAAAATACAATAAACAGGATTTCTTTTGTGAGTGATGAGACTAAAGCAGCAGACTTAATATCCTTTTATGTGCTTTCTGGAAGATTTTATACTTTGCTGGTTGTTCCAAGCTGATTTAGATGACGATACGGTACATGCACTGAAAACCACTTCTTTATTTCTCCATAGCTTTGTTTGCACAGCATGATCGTAATTATCTTTCTGGGGGCGTTTCTGTTTTGAGATTGCATCGCCGTGTTTAGTATAGTTTCATATTTTGTTGGGCACTGTTACTATGAGTCAAGTATTAACAAGTGGCAAAGAAAACGCTTTATGACTACACTAAAAGCCACATGAGCTTGGTTTGCTAATTTCATACAAAAACAATATTGGTGATGAATTTCTTGTAATATAAAGCTTAATGCCATATGCAAGGAAATGCTGTCTTTGTGAACATGCCTGGCTCAGCTGTGCTTAAAACTTTGTGTTAGCATTGTTACATTTAGAATGTAAGCAGTTAAGTAGGAAAATAGGGAATTACCTGCTATTCATTTCATTTAAATCCATTAAGCAAATTGAGGGCTGTAGGAATGAATTTTCCAAACTTAAAATAGGGATGTCATAATACCAGAGATCTAGTTGTTGATACCAAAAATAATCAAATTCCTTGATTCTTGATTCACAACTTGATTTATTTAACTTGACTCGTTTATTGACACTTCACATATACTCATTTGAACTGAATAGAGCTTGAATGCACCAGAATGTTACTGGAACCTCCATTAACTGTTATTTTGCCAAGCAGGACTGTGCTAGCCACCGTGTGCTAACAGCTAATGTTTACTAGCTTTCCTCATGCCGTTTTGAACGATATTGTTCTCGGAAGCTGTTAGAACAAGTACTCTCAAGTTTTCAGAACTTTGAGGTATCGGTTCTTATGATATCCTTAGCTTACAGTTCACTTTAGTTTTCCTCCTCCTTCTACAATTAATTAAATGGCAAGCAGATAGTGATACATTTAGAACAAACTCGACTTCTGCTGACTTGTGCTTTAATAAAGCCTTAGGGCGCTCCCCATCTGCTCTGCTTTACGTGGCAGACTAGCTGTGTAACTAGTGAGTCAAATATTGGAGAATGGGTGCAGGTTATCAAAATAAATGCCAAGAAAGTGAGTCAGTAACAATTCACAATTCTCTTTATTAGCACTAATTGTTTAGCATGCTTATACGCTTTCTATCACTACACACACCAGCCAATGAGAGTACTCGCTTGCTTGTTGGAAAAGAATGGGACAGAACAAAGCAAAAGGAAAAACTGCTTCATCTTTATAAAGGCATTTAAAGAGATCACTTGTTGGGTAGTATATGAAAGCTTCAACATTTTATTTATTACTTATTACTTATTTTTTGAGTAACGGGTGGTGATGAACTCATACAACTAGTGGTTTAAAATGTGTGAAACATTTAAAGTTTAGCTAGTAAATAAATAATTTAAAAGAAAGATTGGTTTATAAAGAATGAAGTCACTCCTGATGAGGTGGTTGTAGTTGGGTCATTAATATTAAACTATAACAAAAAATGGAAATGTAATGACCTTTGATTTATATGTTGTATTGAGCCTATGAAAAGACTCTACCTTCTTAATTATATAATAAACATTATGTTTTCCTGTACTTCTGTGCTTATTTAAATGGAAAAGCAGTGGTAGAAGCATGGACACCTGAATGCAACATGAGTGTTATTGAGACGGTACGCTCTCAGGATGACATGTCCTTTAAGTAACGTCTCTTTGGCACCTACTTGTCGTGTGTAGTGACCAGTGGATTAGTGTTGGATTCTCTGTGATCCTCTTACAGGGCGTTTGCTCATGCTGCGCTGCATTTGACTCAAGAAGCAGAATACACGCACTTACCCCTGGTATCTAGGTTGAAGTCCTCGGTGTGAGAAAGCATCCCTGGTGTCCTCGAGCAGTGCAGATGTTCACTGATTTCTCTTGCTGAACTCTGAAGAAAAAACGAAATTACAGAGAAATATATGAATATGTCATCCTCTATTAAGATTTTAATTGTTTTTAAACAGCATGGTAGGAGTAAATGGAGCTTGCATGTTGACATGAACTTAATACATTCATTAACATGCAGGTATTTAAGCCGACATGTTGGATGCAATACGTGGAGGCAGGTCTTAATGGCGCATGTAATAAAAAGCTGCTTCTTCAGTGGATAACCTTCTTTTGGCATTGCCGTCTCCTAAATTAATTCAGCAGTGTGCTCGTTCTTTTTTCCTCTCATTTCTTTTTCAAGAATCAGAACCACCTCATTAACCTTATCTAGCAAGCAGAAGCTAATGAAAGCCTCTGTTTCAGTGTCCGGTCCTGGCAAAGTTAGTTTGACTAATTAATCAAACATCAGTCCCCCCCTATCATCTTAATGACTCCCTTTGAAAGTGAATGACAATGTGCTGCACACACAGCCCGCAGGGAATCTGCACCGGCACGTCTTCATGCATTTTTATTGGACGTTGAAATAATAGAGGAAATGAAGCTTTGTGGCCCAGAGATAGATGTTTGGTATTCACTACAATAAGGGAAATAGAAATGAAAAACAACTTCCTCATCTTTTAAACATGTTTTTGTTCTTACTTGAATGATAATGTTTACCCAGTCCCTACAATATGCAACAAAGCAAAGCTGTAATTCTCCGACCTATGGACGCTACGAGTCCAGATTAATGCACACTCAGTATTCATATGACTCGTCTTGCCCTAATGAAACAATTCCGTGCTCTCATCCCTTGTGATTCAGAGTGTATGACATGCCATATCAGATGTAAAGAACCGTCAAAATTCAATCTCCAACAATCTTTAATGGAAAACTGCAAAATGGCTAGATTTTCACAAAATGAGAGTACAATAGATAATGCAATTCAATTAGCTGCTAAGGCTGCTATTTGCATCCCAGTGAAAGGGGTGACAGTTTAAGTGGCCCAAGGCAGCTGCCTTTCAGCAAAGGCCTGTGAAAACACAAAAAGCAGCGGAACCAAGAGAAAAGGCGAGTTTGGGAGACTTCAGCAGTATTCTTTTAATGACTCATCATAATGACTCAATTTAGCTGTTCAATGACCCATTTACTGCATTGAGCAGGCATGGGAAGCTCTCTGTCCTTGGCAGGGTCAGTCCTGCAGCTGCCCCTGCCTGCCATCTTTAACCAATGGGAACATTTATTTTCCCTCCACCAGGCTTCAACAGACAGGTTGCTCAAGAATCAGGAATCATCTCAAAACACATTCACACACTGCTCCATTAGATCATTACATTAAAATAATCTACTAATTGTAAGTGAAAGAAAGAATTGTTTTAATTATCAATAGTTCTGCATCAGACCATGTTGACACAAACAATGAAGTTGTAGAAGCTTGAGGTAAAAGATAAACAATGGGCCTTACTTGTCATTAGCTTAAATAACTTTCTGTCAGAGAAAATACGATTTAATTTAAGATGCCCCAAAATGTCTTAATCATCCGAATCCGCTCCTACCCAGGTGTGCAAAATTATGAATCCCATTTAGTCATACAGTAAATTGGAGATGTGTATTTAATTATAACAAGAAAATTCAAATGCATCAAAAAGTACATTATCCAAGCTGAACCACAGCATGTTAAAGTCCTATTTGGGACAAATACAAAATATGTAGCCCAGAAATGTAATCCAATCATTATAATTTGCTTGCGTTGGAAGAACAAATTGTCGAAAGAAGATTTCTTAATGTTTTGTCAGAGAGCTCTTATCCACTTTCACCCAACAATAGAGCAACAATAAGAAAACCTTGCTAGAGATCAAAGGTTAATAAAAGAGTGAATTTGTTCGTATATCATTTAATTATTGAGTTCAATGTGTCCTATTATACATTTACAGGAAAATGTTTATAATGAAAAATAAGATGCTGCTTGACTGCAGAAGCAACTATGTATAGGTCACAGAGGCAGAGCATTGTTGTGATGTGGATAAACCCTAAGAAAATAGTTTTAATACAAATATGTATATAAAACCTTATTCTGTAGAAATCTGACACACTAACTACTAATACAGTGAATGTTTAATATCCCTTTTCTGGGAATATTGACTGTTTCATGGAGAGATGAGAAGAAGTATCCTTCCAGCATGCTCCTCTATCTGAACAGACCAGTTTTCGTTCGTTTTGCTGTACACAGGGCATGTGTACTCAAGGTTGGGTCAGGTTGCAGCCATGGAGGAGCGGGGGTGCAGGAGGGAATAGTGGAGGTGCTGAGGAGAAACAGACCCCATATGGTCTTGAGGAGCTGAACTTTCTGGCAGATCTCCAGGATGCTGACCCGGAGCATTGAAAGGTTGAGCACTGGCACCGATCTGACGGATTCTGCCCAGCTGCTGACGTGCAGAGCAGCGCACATGGATGTGAAGACAAAAATAACTTGCTGGGATCCACAGCTTGAGCAACTCCTTAGAATTTAAATCACTGCCAATTTATTCTGGCTCGTGTCAACTTACTAGGAGATGACTGGCGTGTAGCACAGTGTAGCAATATTTAGAAATGCATAAAGGATGTTTCACTTAAATTATTTTGATCTTTGCTACAGTATGACTATCCTAAGTGGAGGCTTTAGAAAATAAAATCCAACGATACAGTTAAGAGGGGGAGTTTAGATTTGCTATTCAGGTCTGGTCATCTGCAATCTACTTGAATAAAGAAAGCAGTTAAAATATTCAGAAAAGAAGTGACCCCAAGTCAATTAATGTGTGCCCTCCTCTTCTCTCTGTGTAACGAAGGGCAGACCCTGTTGTTGTGCCCCCTTCTTAATTGAAGAGATAAGTGTGCTTAAGTGGTTTGCAGGGTAAAAGGCCCCTACATGTTAAGCAAAGCTAACAAGTGAGATTTTCTAAATTAATATTACATTTACTAGTGAAGAAACACACTCTTTCTTTCCACTGTTCCTTCATTTTCTGTTTGATACAATTGATGATATTTAGCTCATGAACCAACACACTCTCACTCCATAATCGTCCAAGAGCGACGTTTGGTCAGGGTCCCGTGGCGTGCAGTTGTGACGCTCCTAGGCTCCTTCAGCTTCACAAAGGGACCCAAATAGCTTTCAACTGATTGCAATGTATTCCCATCTGCGGCGGGATTTGACGCTCATGGAGGCACGGCATTCGTCTGTGTCGGCTGCCCTTAAAGGGCAATGTGAGCGTCCATTCCCATTGGATAACGGAGAATTGTACACCCGGAAGTAAGTATTCCCCTTACTGTCGATTGATTTTACAGTGATATCTGCACTACTCATTGACTAAAAAA